TTTTAGATGTCATCCAAGCCTTCTTGTTGTGACACCAAATTACGGGAAGGTCGTCCAATTTCACATTGTTCGTTTTGAAAGCTCTAGGACGTGCAGCATTTCCAATAACTAATGGCTTTAATTTCGCTCCTCGCGAATTGCAACATAGCAAAACAGTAATCCGTCCCTTACATTTCTTCCCTCCTTTACATGTGTCTCTCATTTCTATTAAGGATCGCGTTGGAAGTTGACGGTAGAATAATCCAGTTTCATCCGCGTTGGAAATGTCCTCTTCTGCGTATCCCAACAAAAGGCTTGGAAGTTTGCGTTTCCAATCTTCAGCAGCTTGAAGATCAGCAGAAGCTGATTCGCCAGAAAGGACGTGCAGACTTATGTTATTTCGTTTACGGAAACGATCCAACCAGCCATTGCTCGCCGAGAAATCTTCGGTGTGGAGTCTAGTTGCAATTTCTCTAGCCTTCTCCTGTAAAAGTGTGCCACTAATGGGAATGTTCTTTGCACGACAACACCGGAAAAACTCTAACACTTTGTCATTTAGTTCATCATGAGGTGTTTTTCGTAGTCTTTTTCTGTGTGCATTACACTTCCTTTCCCACGCATCGGTAATTGCGGCTCTGTTGCTGTTGATGTTGGAAACAGTAGATTTTGAGATGCCGTATTTCTCTGCCAGCTTCCTGCAACTTTCTCCTATCTTCAGAAGATCCAAAACTTCTTTCTTCTTTTCCAGAGTTAATTCCACCAATTTTCGTTTCCCCATCGCAAAAAGAAAAATCCAATTTCTGTTAACACTGTTGCAAGCTAACTCAGCTGCAAGCACAGTACTGACAAAGTTAGAACTGTACCAGCAATACTACTGTAGTCCAGTGAAGGGTTCAACAAAAGAATAAATATACACTTTCACTGCATTCCAATGATGGGTTCAAAGTCTCACACCCTCAATTATAAGCTAATCCTCAGGTAGAAGGCATTCATCAGTCAGAAATTCAAAATAACAAAATACTAACTGTAAATGTTTCCCATAAAAGCATTGAAGCTAAGTGCATGAACCTGTCCAACTTGCAACAAAAGGGGTGTTCAAGTTCCAGGATAGAGGGGTGTCCAAGATATAGAGTGTTGTGGACATGTAAAATTATAGGATATTCGCCGGTTCCAATTAAAAGTGTCCAATATAGAGGGGTGTCCAGGATATAGGGTGTCCAACTAGAGGGGTTTTACTGTATTACCAAACCAAACACTGAACTATTGGAGACATAATAACCCATGCAAGGTTACATAAGTTAATATATGTACTTTAAAACACGGCACATAAACATAATACAACCCATATGGAAATTGTAATTTTTAATCGTTGTTGCAACACAAAAATTATAGTCTAAGTCCACATCTAGAAACAGCCAGGATGCTTAATAAAGTCAAAATACCAAATATTCAGAAACAGAAACTATCTTTATCAACAGTTTCATCTGCTACCACTTATTTTGTAGATAGTTACAGGTTTGAACACATTTCCATTAAACCGGTAATAAATGGGCTATCTGATCATGATGCTCAACTATTAGTTATAAAAAACATAAACCTTATTTCTAACTTTCACAATGATAAGAAGGTAACTAGAGTGATAAATGAAGTCACTTTAAATGAATTTATACAACATCTCAGTAGTGAAGATTGGGAATTATTACTCAGTGGTGGTGATATGGATTCAAAGTTCAATTCTTTTCTAAACATCTTTTTAAACATATTTGAAAAAAGTTTTCCTACTAAAACAGAGAAAAAATTGTCTGAAACCAATGTATGGATAACTAAAGGAATCAAAACATCATGCAAATGTAAGCGAGCTCTTTACCTAAGTAGCAGGTCCAGTAATAACCCACTATTGAAGCAACACTATAGAAAATATTGCAAAATTTTATCTCAAGTCATTAAAGAAGCTAAACGCATGCATTACAATAAATTGATAGTAGAGTCTGAAAATAAAGTAAAAACTGTTTGGAAAATTGTAAAAAAGGAAACTGGCAAACAATCTACAGACATTGAAAGCCCACCATTAATGATAAATAGTAACAGAGTAAATGACCCTAAACTTATAGCTAACTATTTTAATACCTACTTTTTAACGATTGTAGAAAGAATGAACAGCAGTGATACCATAACTCCAAAAACCAAAGATGCAATGAAGTTCTTGGCTAAGGCAATTCCTAATTCATTTC